TTGAGAATGGGAAACATAATGTTGGGGGACAGGAAAAGAGATTTAAAGCCAACCTTAAAAACTGTGGCATTGGCACCGAGAACTGGGAAGCCGTGGCCTTTCAGCAGCTGTGACCAGCAATGCTGCGGATTTGAAAGGGGCACAAGTGGAGTGCAGAAGGGAGATACGTGCCAAGAGGAAGGAGCAGCATCAAGAGGAAGAACATGCGGTTCAAGAATAGGGCTCAACAGCCACTGTTGTACACCAAGGCTGGGGTTGGCACCTTTGAACCTATTTTATTTATTTATTTAGCGCACTTGTATACAAAAGGTGTGGTTACACATGAAAACCAAACGTTAAACTCACTGAAGAGTATAGATTCACAGGCCCTATATTTATTTAAAAAGCCATAGCAAAAGCATTCTGTTTCCCTTGGGAAACCTCTCCCTGACCCCTTTTTTCTTAATCTTTCAGACCGCCTTCTCCCCCCTTCCAGGTGGCAATGTTGATTGTCTTTTCCCATCAAAGAGTGTCTGGTCCTCCCTCGGCTTGACAATTCATGCATTCCTTTCACTAACAGTATTTGGCCTTGGCCGTTCAACCTTTTCCTCGTCCTCTTTTTCTGTTAGCATCGAAACATCTTTGCCTTGGGAACCAACTATCCCAGAATCCTCAGGCTCACTCTGGCTAATTGTACTCTCTTGACCATCATCTCTAGACACAAACCCCTGAGACTCAGCAGAAACCTGATCATCTAACTCAGACACTGGAACCTCTGCAGACTCATGGTCATTCTCCTCAGAAGCCTGAAGCAAAGAGACAACCACAGGCTGAGCCCCTAAAGCCACCTACGAACCCTATGTCTATGTAGATTTCTGCTCTCAGAGAAGCTCTTTCCACACTCCAGGCATGTATAGGGTTTCTCCCCAGTGTGAGTCCTTTGATGTGAACATAGACCTGAACTATGAACGAAGCTCTTTCCACACTTCAAGCATGTATGTTGCTCCCAAGTGTGAGTCCTTTGATGTCTATGCAGATTTCCATTCTCAGATAATCTTTTTAAACACAACTATGCATTTATAGGGTTTCTCCCAGTGTAAGTTCTTTGATGTGAACGTAAATTTGAACAATGGGTAAAGCTCTGTCATCACTCATGGCATTTATAGGATTTTCCCTCAGTGTGAGTCCTGAACTCTCAGTGCAGCTCTTTCCTCACTCCAGGCATGTATAGGGTTTCTCCCCAGTGTGAGTCCTTTGATGTGAACGTAGATTTGAACTGTCACTGAAGCTCTTCCCACACTCCAGGCATGTATAGGGTTTCTCCCCAGTGTGAATCCTTCTATGTTTTTCTAGATCAGAAGACCTAGAGAAGCTCTTCTCACACTCCAGGCATGTATAGGGTTTTTCCCCAGTGTGAGTCCTTTGATGTGAACGTAGATTTCCACTCGTAGTGAAGCTCTTTCCACACTCCAGGCATGTATAGGGTTTCTCCCCAGTGTGAGTCCTTTGATGTGAACATAGCGCTGCACTCTCACTGAAGCTCTTCCCACACTCCAGGCATATATAGGGTTTCTCCCCAGTGTGACTCCTTTGATGTGAATGTAGATTTGAACTCTGGGTGAAGCTCTTCCCACACTCCAGGCATGTATAGGGTTTCTCCCCCTTGTGAATCCTTTGATGTCTATGTAGGTTTGAATTGTGAGTGAAGCTCTTTCCACATTCCAGGCATGTATAGGGTTTCTCCCCAGTGTGAATCCTTTGATGTGAACGTAGACTTCTACTCTCAGGGAAGCTCTGCCCACACTCCAGGCATGTATAGGAATTTTCCCCCATGTGAATCTTTTGATGTGAACGTAGACTTGAACTCTCGGAGAAGCTCTTTCCACACTCCAGGCATGTATAGGGTTTTTCCCCTGTGTGACTCGTTTGATGTGAAAGTAGATTTGAACTCTGAGTGAAGCTCTGCCCACACTCCAGGCATGTATAGGGTTTCTCCCCAGTGTGAATCCTTCGATGTTTATGTAGAGTTGAACTCTGAGTGAAGCTCTGCCCACACTCCAGGCATGTATAGGGTTTCTCCCCAGTGTGAATTCTTTGATGTGAACGTAGACTTCCACTCTTAGTGAAGCTCTGCCCACACACCAGGCATGTATAGGGTTTCTCCCCCGTGTGAATCCTTTGATGTCGCTTCAGATGAGCCCTCCAAGTGAAACTCCTCCCACATTCCAGGCATATAAATGCTTTCTCCTCCATGTCAGCCATGATATGGGTGTTTGATTGCAATACAGATGCTTCAGTCTTCTTTTTTCCTTCCTTGTCTGTACGTGAGGTCAAGATTTCGGCAAGACCCTCACCTAGAGAGAAGTTCTTCTTCCTATATTATTGATTTCATTGCTGCATCCAAGGGGTGGCTCCACAGAATCCTCATTTCCCTGGTTAAGAAAGAAGCAAAAGATCAAGGATGAAGGCGAGAAACATTCTTTACCTCCACGATTTCCCCCTTTCCCTTCATCTGTCATGTTGAAAATGGAAATCCAAACATCGGGGTCTTCAGAGGTTCTGTTGGACAATGAAGCAAGTGGAGTGTCTCTATCCCTGTGGAATAATGTCCAGGGTGGGAGAAAGAACCCTTGTCTGCTTGAAGCAGGTGTGAATGGCCCAGCATTCTGCGTTTTCAAATAAGATTCTGTGTCCAGCACTCAGAAACAGGAGAACTCCAGATAGCAAGCAATCAGGTGCCACATACCTCCCAAACAGAGGGTGCCTCTGTGCAGATATCCTCACTGATTGATTCTGCAGACTTCATGGCTACTCCAATGCTAATTCAAGCTTGCTCATTGCAACATTCACCCTTGCTTCAAACAGACAAGGGTTTTTTCTCCCGCCCTGGATATTATTCCATAGGAATATATACACTACTCCACTTGCTTCACTACCAAGAGAACCTCTGAAGAGGCCATTAACCACAGATGTAGGGGAAACATCAGGAGAGAATGCTGTTGGAACATGACTAGACAGGCCAAAAAATGTACAGCAACTCAGTGATTCCGGCCATGAAAGCCTTCAACGAAACATGCCTAATTAAGAGATATTTATTCCCCAGTGGTCAGTTAAAGGTCTGCTAAAGAGTACAACAACAACAATAATAATGTTGCCATCAAAGCCAGAATTGAAAAGTTGGCAACAGATCCCAAGTGTAGACTCTGCAAGAAGATCGAGCAGACAGACTACAAGCAGAGGCACAACACCCTTGCTCAGATGATTCATTGGAACTTGTGCCAGAAAGACCATCTGCCTGTGACAAAGAACTGGTGGGATCACAAGCCGGAAAAGGTTACAGAAAATGAACAGGTCAAACTACTCTGGGACTTCCAAATTCAAACTGACAGAGTTTTGGAGCACAAGACTCCTGACCTTACGATCGTGTTAAAAACCAAGTTGGGATCGTCAATGTTGCAATCGCAGGTGACATCAGGATTGCAGAGAAACAACTGGAAAAGCTGACACGATACAAGGATTTAAAGATTGAAGTGCAAAGACTGTGGCACAAGCCAGTCAAGGGGGTCCCAGAGGGGATTGGCACACTGGGTGCAGTGCCTCAAGACCTTTTTTTTGTTTGTTTTTTTGTTCTCCGTCTTTCACTGTATAATGGGCAATGTGAATAAAAATAAATTTTAAAAAAGACCTTGGCCTGCATTTAAAACCCATCAGCGCTGACCAAATCCCCACCTGTCAGCTGCAAAAGGCTGCCCTCCTGGGATCTGCACACATTCACTGATATATCACACAGCCCTAGACACCTGGGAAGTGTCCGACGTGTGATCCAATACGACATCCAGCAGAGTGACCTTGTTTGCTGTGGACTCATCTTGTTGTGTTTCACATAATAATAACAACAACAATATCCTGGAGCTGTAGTTTTGCGAGCCCTTTGCCGCCTCTGCCCAATAGTGCTGGTGCCTTGTCAAACTATAAACAGGAGAGACTGCTATATTAATATATTTTTATTTACAATGATTTAAATCATCACTAGTGCCTGGCATATTAACATTTTTCATTTATAATATTTTAATATGAAAAGTATATTATTTTAAATATTATATTTAAGTGTCTTCCATATTAATATATTGATTTATAAAAGTTTAATATCATACATTAAATATTATTTTACATCATATTATATTTAACATAAGAGTGTCTCCTATATTAATACTTTTATTATTTATATTTTTATTCATCATTAGTGTGTCTACCATATTGATATATTACTTATGATACTATAAATAAAGTATATATTTAAATATTGTATTTAACATTAGTCTCCCATATTATATTATTTTTATTTACAATATTTTTAGCCATCATTAGAGTGTCCGCCATATTAATACATTTAATAATAAAATAATTTATTTTTTACTTTTTAAAAAGGAGCAAAATAAGGAAGAGGAATATAACATCATTATAATATATATTATACTTTATATAATTAATAATAATAATAATACTTTACTTCTACCCCGATACCATCTCCCCAAGGGACTCAGTGCGGCTTACATGAGGCCAAGCCCACAAGACATCAATACAAGCAATAACAACAGCAATACAAAGCAATTAAAATAAATCTCACACACAGAGTAACATAAGCATTAACAATAGCACAATAGACATGTATAATCTGTGGCTAGGCCAATGCAATTACAGTTTAAAAATAATGCTGGGTATGGACAAGAGAGAGGAGGTGGGGCGTTAGTGGGAACATACAAGCGGTCCTGAATCAAGATAAAGTGCTTTTGGAGGACAAAGTGCTAAGGGTTCATTCTTCTGGGAAGGCACACTGGAACAACCACGGTTTCAAGCTCCTCCTAAAGCAGTGGTTCTCAACCTTTCTAATGCCATGACCCCTAAATACAGTTCCTCATGTTGTGGTGACCCCCAACCATATTTTTGTTGCTACGTCATAACTGTACTGTTATGAATTGTAATGTAAACATCTGATATGCAGGATGTATTTCCATTGTTACAAATTGAACATAATTAAAGCATAGTGATTAATGATATGGACAATGGATTAAGGGATTGGAATTACTGCCAACCGATTCAGCTCTGACTTTTTGGGAATTGCATTTGTGTGAATTATAGTTCACCAGGCACCAAAGAGCATTCTGAACTCAACCAACAATAGAATTGAACCAAACTTGGCGTACAGGACTTCCATGACCAACAGATAATACTGAAGGGGTTTGGGGAAAATAGACCCTGACCTTTGGGAATTGCATTTGTGTGAATTATAGTTCACCAGGCACCAAAGAGCATTCTGAACTCAACCAACAATAGAATTGAACCAAACTTGGCGTACAGGACTTCCATGACCAACAGATAATACTGAAGGGGTTTGGGGAAAATAGACCCTGACCTTTGGGAATTGCATTTGTGTGAATTATAGTTCACCAGGCACCAAAGAGCATTCTGAACTCAACCAACAATAGAATTGAACCAAACTTGGCGTACAGGACTTCCATGACCAACAGATAATACTGAAGGGGTTTGGGGAAAATAGACCCTGACCTTTGGGAATTGCATTTGTGTGAATTATAGTTCACCAGGCACCAAAGAGCATTCTGAACTCCACCGACAATAGAATTGAACCAAACTTGGCATACAGGACTTCCATGACCAACAGATAATACTGAAGGGGTTTGGGGAAAATAGACCCTGACCTTTGGGAATTGCATTTGTGTGAATTATAGTTCACCAGGCACCAAAGAGCATTCTGAACTCAACCAACAATAGAATTGAACCAAACTTGGCATACAGGACTTCCATGACCAACAGATAATACTGAAGGGGTTTGGGGAAAATAGACCCTGACCTTTGGGAATTGCATTTGTGTGAATTATAGTTCACCAGGCACCAAAGAGCATTCTGAACTCAACCAACAATAGAATTGAACCAAACTTGGCGTACAGGACTTCCATGACCAACAGATAATACTGAAGGGGTTTGGGGAAAATAGACCCTGACCTTTGGGAATTGCATTTGTGTGAATTATAGTTCACCAGGCACCAAAGAGCATTCTGAACTCAACCAACAATAGAATTGAACCAAACTTGGCATACAGGACTTCCATGACCAACAGATAATACTGAAGGGGTTTGGGGAAAATAGACCCTGACCTTTGGGAATTGCATTTGTGTGAATTATAGTTCACCAGGCACCAAAGAGCATTCTGAACTCAACCAACAATAGAATTGAACCAAACTTGGCGTACAGGACTTCCATGACCAACAGATAATACTGAAGGGGTTTGGGGAAAATAGACCCTGACCTTTGGGAATTGCATTTGTGTGAATTATAGTTCACCAGGCACCAAAGAGCATTCTGAACTCAACCAACAATAGAATTGAACCAAACTTGGCGTACAGGACTTCCATGACCAACAGATAATACTGAAGGGGTTTGGGGAAAATAGACCCTGACCTTTGGGAATTGCATTTGTGTGAATTATAGTTCACCAGGCACCAAAGAGCATTCTGAACTCAACCAACAATAGAATTGAACCAAACTTGGCGTACAGGACTTCCATGACCAACAGATAATACTGAAGGGGTTTGGGGAAAATAGACCCTGACCTTTGGGAATTGCATTTGTGTGAATTATAGTTCACCAGGCACCAAAGAGCATTCTGAACTCAACCAACAATAGAATTGAACCAAACTTGGCATACAGGACTTCCATGACCAACAGATAATAGTGAAGGGGTTTGGGGAAAATAGACCCTGACCTTTGGGAATTGCATTTGTGTGAATTATAGTTCACCAGGCACCAAAGAGCATTCTGAACTCAACCAACAATAGAATTGAACCAAACTTGGCGTACAGGACTTCCATGACCAACAGATAATACTGAAGGGGTTTGGGGAAAATAGACCCTGACCTTTGGGAATTGCATTTGTGTGAATTATAGTTCACCAGGCACCAAAGAGCATTCTGAACTCAACCAACAATAGAATTGAACCAAACTTGGCGTACAGGACTTCCATGACCAACAGATAATACTGAAGGGGTTTGGGGAAAATAGACCCTGACCTTTGGGAATTGCATTTGTGTGAATTATAGTTCACCAGGCACCAAAGAGCATTCTGAACTCAACCAACAATAGAATTGAACCAAACTTGGCATACAGGACTTCCATGACCAACAGATAATACTGAAGGGGTTTGGGGAAAATAGACCCTGACCTTTGGGAATTGCATTTGTGTGAATTATAGTTCACCAGGCACCAAAGAGCATTCTGAACTCCACCAACAATAGAATTGAACCAAACTTGGCATACAGGACTTCCATGACCAACAGATAAT